ACCATAGAGAGGAGTGGTCAAAATTTGGATGCTCATCAATGGCAGATGGGTGGACAGACAAGAGAGGGAGAACATTGCTTAATTTCCTAGTAAATAGTCCAAGGGGAACCATGTTTATTAAATCGATAGATACTTCTTCTTTTTCAAAGGATGGTGCAAAGATGTTTGACTTAATAAATTTATGAACCGCATTGGAGTAGCAAATGTCGTTCAAGTCGTCACAGATAGTGAATCAAGCAATAAGTCTGCCGGTAAGAATGTTCAATGTTTATAACTTTTAGATTATGTAAATTCTTTACAAATATATAATTTAAATCTTTTTTTATTAATATATAATTTATATCATTTTTTCTTTTTTCCGTTTGGTTTCAAATAGGGAGGATGTTAGAGAAAGAACACCCACATTTGTATTGGACACCATGTGCTGCTCATTGCTTAGACTTGATGTTAGAAGACATTGGGGAAATACCGTCCATCTCTAGAACAATGCAGAGGGCAGTGGAGTTGAATAGTTATATCTATATGCGTCCAAAGTTGTTGAACATTATGAGGAACTTTACTCATAAAAAGGAGTTGCTTAGGCCCGCTAAGACTCGATTTGCTACATTTTTCATCACATTATCAAGTATTCACAAGAAAAATAATAACTTGAGAAAGATGTTTACTTCAGAAGAATGGAATCGTAGTAAATGGGCGAAAGAGGAAGCCGGTAAAAGAGTTGCTTCTTATGTTTTGATGCCTTCCTTTTGGAACAACATTGTCTTTAGCCTTAAGGTTTCCGGTCCTCTTATTCCGGTTTTGAGATTAGTTGATGGTGAGAAAAAGCCTCCCATGGGATACATTTATGCGGCTATGGATAGGGCTAAAGAAGCCATTGCAAAATCATTTAGGGAAGTAGAAGACAAATACAAGGATATCTTTGAAATAATTGATAAGAGGTGGAATGTTCAACTTCATCGCCCTTTGCATGCAGCAAGTTATTATTTGAACCCAGAATACTTTTATTCAAATTCGAAAATTGAAAAAGATGAAGAGATTGCAAAGGTTTGTATGCATGCATTGCAAGGTTAATCCCAGATATCAAAGACCAAGACAAAATTACTGAGGAGCTGTCCTTATATTCTAACGCTGAGGGCCTCTTTGGTAATCCCTTTGCTATTAGACAGAGAAATACACGAGGACCAGGTAAAGTGGTAAAGTATATTAAGTTAGTATAGCTAAATGTTAAAATTATTTTGACAATAGAGTCGATAGAAAGATGAAGCTAAAGTTGCCAAACATCATTATTATATTTTTTTAATAGCTAATTGGTAGGAAGCTTATGGCAAGTCAACAAAACTTCTCCAAAAGTTTGTTATAAAGGTTTTAAGCCTTACTTGCAGTTCTTCTGGTTGTGAACGAAATTGGAGCGTGTTTGAGCATGTAAGTATATACTATCTACTAACTAGGTTTGTAATTTAATTGTTGAAAGTTAAAATTTTAATTTTTTATACTTACTAGTTAAGGTTGAATTTATTGCAGCTTCATAACAAGAAAAGAAATAGGCTCGCTCAAACAACTTTGAATGATTTAGTGTTCATCAAATATAATAGAGCATTGAGGCGTCGATATAATATACGTGACACTCTTGATCCCATTTTACTCGATGACATTGATGAGAGTAACGAGTGGTTAACGGGGAAGATGGATGATTCTGATGCAGAACATGATCTAGTCTATGAAGATGATTCATTGACATGGGGTGATGTTGCTAATTTTGCTGGTATTGGAGAGGCTAGCAGGCCGCAACGGTCTACTAGATCAAAATCTAGTTCTGATTCATGGTTACCGACAAAGGGAGCAGGAAGTTCTTCAGTTCGACTCGTGGATGAGGATGAGGATGATTCAAATGAGATAGAAGAGGATCCTGAGAATTATGAATCATTTAGTAACGATCAAAATGATGTTATGCTTATTGATGACGAGGATGATATTTAGATTCATTGGTGTTGTCTTCTCAGGAAGAAATGATGTTTATGTTTGTTTTAGTTTTATCTTATACTTCTCCTTAGTTGACTTTCGCATCTTTATGTTAATATGTTTGATTATTCACTGTTTTGAACTCAAGTACTTGATTTACTTGGTTTTGGTATCTTTATGTTGAATATTTAACTTAAGTAATTCATTTAGTTGACTTTTATATCTTTGTATATACTATTGCATCTTTAATACTTTATTGGGTGAGTTTTTTTTTTTTTTTTTCCAACGTGCGCCTTGCTTCAGTCAGGCGCGCGCCTCACCTTGCGCCTTGCTTCAGTCGGGCGCACGCCTTGCCTTGCGCCTTGCGCCTCAGGCTCCAGGAGTATTTGCGCTTTTGTGCGCCTTGAGCCTTTAACAAATATGCTCTGACCCCATTCTCCCTTCGCCCCTGCATGGGAGAGACTGAAAGAGAAAAGAGGTGAGAGAGAATTGAGAAGAAAAAGAATTGTGCACGTGATGCCCTCGTGTGATTTGATTTGGGGTGGGGGGGAAATTATAATAATATAATAATGAAATACAAGATATACAATTACTACTTTGCTAATTAAACGGAAATTAACTAAAGTTAACGGAATATCCATTGAATAGACGGAATCTTTTTTAAGTAGATGCTGCATTACCAGTTTTGACCTTACTGCAGGGTTACGGCAGAAATTTTACTGCAGACGATCCACGCCCGTTGAGGAGATCTCATCCTTTCCCTTCACGACGAGATAGGGGCGAGCCAAAGATAAGTTGTAAGTGGAAACACTCTGGTAGAGGAGCTTTCAAGAAATGAATCTCGAACCAGGTCTCCAACCGGCACTGAAATTGGTTAAGGGTCTATTGTCGTGTGATTAGCTACAACTCCCGTGTAAAAGAATTTATTTAAATAGACGCTGTTACACAATTATATCACTTGTATTTTTATTGAGGAGGCGCGGTGAACCTTTTTGTACACAATTTTTACTTGTGATAATTGTCGGCATTTTTAATTTATATAAGTAACAATTATTGGCATTTTAGATGGACTTCCCGCATTCGTAATTGGCTGTTGAGCTCATGAAAAAATTAGATTTATATGCAGCCAAACGATGCAAATTATTGGCATAAAGCTAATGACCGAAAGCGTGAAAATATCCAAATTACACTTTTTAAGTCAATTAATTACATCAATCTCGAGTTGAGCGAAACCATCAGTTCTCTCTCGTACCAAAAAATAAAAAGTATTTTAATCAGTTTTCATTATTATTATTATTATTTTTTTGGGCTGTGTTTTTGTGCTAAATATTTATTAAACCTCTACAATGTTTAAAATTCATAAATCAATAATTACTTATATTAAATCTGTAACGAATAAGTAATTACTTACATTAAATCATCTTTATTTGCGGTGGTGTAATAAATAAGTAATTATTTATATAAAAAGTGAGACATAGAAAAGGGATTGTGTCTTTTACCGACTCAAAGAAAGGGCATAAAATAACTTCACTCATAGAAGAAAAAATAAAATGTTAAATTATTTTTATTATTATATTCAGTAATGTCTTTAATATTATAATTAGTAGAAGATAGTATTGTAATTCAACAATTGTGTAACTTAAGATATCATTTAATTAAAAACTTCTATAAGAATTCACTTTTCGAAAAGATGACCAATCCCTCGTGTTAACCTTACCTTTTTTGTATTATTTCTAAACTTCCTATTTTCTTTCCACACATTTCGTTCATTCCTTCCTATTTTCTTTCCACACAACTTCCTCCCTTTCTGATGTCAGTTCTATGTCCACATCCCCGTACCATTTTCCTCAATGATTTTACTGAAACATGTGAGTTGTGCAGCGGAATAGGATATGAAAGTTTGTATTAAAAATAATCTAGAAGGGTGATGAATAAGTTTTACTTGTTCCTTTAACCAATTTTTACTTATTTTAATTTTACCGAAATAAAACTAAAATCAAACCCACAAAGCAAAACTAAAGTTTAAAAGATGACACCAGAATTTTAGCGAAAAACTCCAATTAGCATAATAGACCAATTGTTGTGAAAAAAACCTCGTGCACTGTGCAGTTCAGAGCAACACGATCCACTACGTTTGAAACAAAGTACAATGGAGTTTGACTCGGGCTCACACCTTATCGTTCTACCAAAAACTAATTGCTGACAATCCTCTACCTTTGCAACGTCCCGTCCAACAACTCTTAACTTCAGTCTTACTCTTGATTTCTATAAAAGGATTGCTGGTAGATCAAATAACACTCTTTGAATACTTTGACCCTTCCAAAATGTGATTGTTTCACCCCTTTTCTTCAAGATCTGAATTTGATGTAAAAAAAATAGATTTGCTTTTCGGAATCTTTGAATCTTCAATTATACTCCAATTCCGATAAGATACAAAACAATACAACTAAATCACTTGTATACATATGTGTGTGCGCTCTAAAAAATCAAATTAGAAAAATCAAATTTGATTTTCTGAAAAATATCTCTCAAAATGTTTTCTCAAAATAATAAATTTTTGTTCCTATAAGCCAAGATAGATTATATAAAAGTTTGGAAGACCTAAATACTTCGAAACCAAGTCAAATTCATGCATGAGATTTTGAAAGAAAGTCTAGACCAAATAGGAATTAAAACGTACCAAGAAGGTAAGTTACCAAAATGAATCAGATGGCCTTGAACCGATTCAGGAAAGTGGAACTGGTTCAAGCTGACCAATATTAAATTCAAAGAATCCTTTTGATTCTTGAACCGATTTAGAATTCTCTTACCGATTCAAGAAGACTAATCTTGATAGATGTTAATCGAATAATCTTGAACCAATTCAAGTTAGGCAGAATATAAACTTTCTAAAAATTTGTGTTTCAACCTTCCGAAGTGTTCTCACACTCACATACCTTTCTAAAACATTGTTCTCATCATTTCAGAGTGTATTAAAGTATGAACACTTGAACTTCTTCAAATCGGCTTCCGATCTTCAATTTTGAAATTCTGAACCAAAATTTTACAATTCGATCGGACTTATTTTAACAACAAAATTAGCCAAATACAAAATACATAATCTCACAAAACAAAACATCTCCCACTGCTTTCCATAACATAATTACCAACATTGTTGGGAAAAGCAACCCAAATAAAAGGGAATAACTCCAGAGCCCCGGGACCTAAAGCGCATAAATATAGTTAGTCCTCTTCATTAAAGGTTAAACTTGTTCCCCCTGTTTTAATACTGCAAATGTTTCTATCATTTTTGCTTTTTAGAAGAAATGTCCATACACAAGCAATTCCAAACAGTATAAGCCCACCGTTAACATACTTCTTAGTTATTACATAATAAGTTCCTAGTACAATTTGAGAACATAAATTCAATGGCGACATACACCATAAATCATAGTCTTGTTTGTTCTGAACCCAATTTCAGAAAGACACGGGCTCTGGTTTAGGTGGGGGTCTAGGTTAATATTTGTAGGGTTCGACATAGATGACATACCCATCCAACATAGTAGCATTCATTTCATGTTTAGCTTTCTCGGCATCCTCAATTTTTGAGAAGGTTACATAAGCCATCCCCTTGGATCTTCCAGAGACAATATCCGTAGGGACTGTTACTGCAAAATCATTTAAGCATCAGATTTGTACACATCATTTACTCATTGTGCTTACTGATAGATAAAGATTAAAGCAAAAGTTCCTAAACAATAACGCACTGTGCTAACCTTCAACAATGTTGCCAAATGGTTTAAATTCTTTTCTAAGATCTTCCTCAGTTGTCTCTCCTGAGAGACCGCATCAACATTCACAAATAATGTGTCATGCAGAACCGATCCAAACATAAATTATAGAGCCTCATAACCTTTGAGCACACATACAACGCTCCCTAGCTGGAGCTTTCAATTTACATAGGCATATATCCACCAATGAATATGAAAACATGATCATTTTACAACCCAACAATATTAGATCCTTAATTTCCAAAAGCTGGAACTAGTTCAAAATAGGACCTCAATAGCACATACATTTTATCATAATAGGAAGGAATCCACAAAGAACAAATTACATTAAACACATTGATTCAATGGAAGTTGATAATTGTATCAAGCCAAAATTTACTTGTATCATCAACAATCAAGGCTCCATATTTAAAAATTCATGCTGCTCTAGGTAATCAGCCATATACAACGTCTGAGTCATCCTAACGGATTTTGGTACCTGAAATGGTGATGAGTGAAATGACGCCAAGAAGGATAGTCACTAACAAGAGCTCCTAAGAGATTTTATGCATATGATGACAATGCTTTGTGGGAAAAAAATAGTCATTTGTATAGAAAGAACATACATTTTCATGTTAAACATGCTTAAGGGATGCAAAAACACAAAATCAACAACTTCAGAAATAAAGGGATGCAAATCAACCATTCTGGACAAGTGCCGCTGCTTGTGGGACTTTTGCTGGAACTGAAATCCAGCTTGTTCCTCCCTCCAAAACCACCCCAAATGTCCCACGATATGCATATTATCATAGAATTCATCAAATTGGTGCAATAGGCTTAAAAACAATAATAAACATCATTCACCCAAAAAAAAAAAAAACAATAATAAACATCAATATCTTACTTACCGAAAATAATAATAATAATAAGCATCAAATCATAAATATGCTATTGAATTAACAAGTTCTGAAGTACGTTTTCAGCAAAATAATGAATATACATAAAATTTAGCTAACATGGAAGCTTAATAGCCTAGTCCTCATGTTATGACACCATTTTCCATATGAATACTTCTCAGCCATTTTTTCCAATGAGCATGTGTTTAAGATCATAGATTGTTCAGTACAGTATAGTTTGATAAACAAATCAATTAAGGGGTTCAACAGAACAATGGGCGAGTGTGGGATTCAAGAGGACTGACCTTGTTAGTCTAGTTTTTCATGTAATTAGTTGTGAACCTCTAAGGTTACACATGAAATAAAAGGCATTACAAAAGCATAATAAAGAAGCAACAATGAAACAATAGATAACAAACCTTATAGCAGTAAGCATTTGAAGGAAAGATCAAGACAACACTTCAATTTTATACATAATCGAAAAAAACGAAGTGCTCTCCAAGTTATTTGAAGTTATCGAAATGTACCAAAAGGAACAAGCTACTAGAACAGATGAACTACGCCTTTAGCAACTATCACATAGTTAGCAGTTTTTAAAATCTTATAACAGTATGCATTTGAGCATAAGCATCATCATCTTTCAATGTGTATTACAATAAAACCAAAAAGTTACAATTCATCAATCAGATAATAGCATTGACATATGTTAAACCCAATTTCACATAAAGCATACTGTTTGGCTCATAAAAATTGGGGTCCGTTCCAAGTGAATGGAAAGGGGGTTGCAAGCGTGACAGGAACTGCTGTCGTTCCAAAGAGAAGCTCCAAACAATATTCCAATGGAAAGTTGTCGGGATCAGGCAATTGAAAGGAAGCTTGGAATGCCAACTTCGAGGGGTTCTTTTTGCCTTGAAAAAGGACTTCGGGATTGTTCTAATGCTAGTGGAGAAAAGACAGAATTGAAAGTGCAGGACTTTGAAATAAAACAACTAAAGTGTAATTGTTGAAATGTAAGAAAGGAAGTGCTGGACTTGTAATTGAAAGTATTGAAGACTATGCTAGAAAGTAGTAAAAGAAAGTGCCGTACTTAACTCAAACATTATGAAAATTCATTGCTAGAATGAGAGATACATAAAATAGCAAAGTGCTGGGCTTAAATTAAACATTACGTAAATTCATTACTGGAATAAGAGATACATGGATTGACATAGCAAAGATGTTGTATTGATCTGTGGTGTGCATTTTGCCGTCCTAGCACTCTAGGCATAAGTGCTCTATTTATATAACTTCTCATGCAACAGTTGGAAATGTGGCAGTTCCAACAGCCTCCACTTGGCTGGTCTTCAAACTACCAAGTGTCCCATGTTCTTGGCAATTACCCATGTTTTATCTCCACCTTCTTCCATTTTCTTGACACATTACTTCTACCATATTCCCTAAAAGTCTCCATGATTCTGAGTAGTGGACATTTAGTACCAGATGGAGTTGATCGTTCCACTTAGCTCTTCTATAAATTCCCATGTGTCCCACATCATTCTTCAATCGTGCATGGACTCTTCTTTTATTTCAGACATATAGTACCAGCTTTTAACCACGTTGTCCATAGATTTCAATCATTAGTTGCATGGACAACTTCCAATCTTCTTCTAATATACTAACATGTAGCCAAGTGTCCCACGTCTCATCTATTTCCTTCCTTACACAGAACCCTTCTTCCCATGCAATTGTATATCAGCATGTTCTCCTTGGATTCAGCAACTTCCTTTTTAATTGGACCTTCCTTCTAGTAAGCTCTTATGGCATCATGCATTCCATGATTTTAGTAACTTCAATTCTACATAAATAGATTTGGTATATATATATATATATATAATTATTCACTTCCCATTTTCTAAATGATCATCCACGTCCCTTCTTTAGAAGCTTTGTGTTAACTTGGTCTCAAGTTTTGATAACCTCAAATATAGTGGCCGAATGGCTTGTTTGGAATTCCCTATAAAATAGGAGAAAACTTAGCACCACGTTCCCACCTCTCTTTCCATATGGCAATTGTCACAGGGGTAAATTCTGAACACAAATCTAGTACCCTGTGATGGCACTAAGCCAGAAATATGAACAACTTTTCTTTGAATTTCTAACTTAGCTCAGCCAACTCACACTTGCTACCTAGAACACACAGCAACTAAAACACTCTCACACACAAGTATAGTTGCAAGAATGTAAAGACAATAACACCCATGATTTTACAGAAGCACAAGGCTTCCAACCTTTTACTATTATTCACAAAACAGTACAAGGAAAGGCCTCAACCTGCAGAAGCATATAAGAGTCTCTCATAACAAAACTCTGTGTCTCACTCTCAAATCTCTCCTCTCTACAGAACCCACATTAGCAATATATAGGCAAACTCTCAAAACGCCCACAACTGCCCACCAAAGTGGTGGATGACACCCCCATCCACCTAGGATCATGTTGGCACCCACTAAGTATGCCAACACTACATATGTAGTTGACAAGCCCAACTACTAGCTTGTTGGCACGCTCTGCTCATGCCACTTGTCCACAGGAAGTTACACATTATCTGCCACCTTCTATATATCAGCATAGTGGAAGAAAACCGACTCTAACCACCTGTGTGTTGTCCCCTCAGATCTGTGCCACATGTATGGGAAGTTACTCAGCACACCCCTACTCCCCATAATATATGCACATGAGTGGGAAGTGTTAGTAACTTCCCCCAACCAACTAAGCCCACTTAGTGGGAAGTGTAACTTCCCCTAACCAACTGAGCCCACTTAGTGGGAAGTGTTAGTAACTTCCCCCAACCAACTAAGCCCACTTAGTGGGAAGTGTAACTTCCCCTAACCGCCTGAGCCCACTTAGCCATCTTCTGTAACCATAAGCCATGTCTGAGTTCCCTGAGCCAACCATGCACGTTGAGCCTTGCCTACGCCCACTGCCTTGTGCCCATATCCCTGACTTGACTATGCCACACGTCCATGACTTGTGTGGTCCACGCTTTAAGCAACATCTGAGCCAACCTTGTGAACTTAGCCCGTGCCAAGCCCACTAATCTGCACCCACATATAAATGTCTCAGAGTGCACGACATCCAAATCGAGTACCGTCTGCGCCAACCATCTTCTATGGACTCAAGGTACCTCCCATAAAGATCCCGAGCCAAAACTCCAAGCTTCACTTTTTCGCCATATTTACGAAAATGTCACTGGGCACCCCCAGTGCACGCTGACAGCATCCCATGGTTGTCAGGGGGCTTGTCAAGGTCCCAATCCCGTAACAAACCTCCCCCACTTAAGAATTTCAACGTCCTCGTTGAAGCAATCACAAAGTGTCACAAGTCTCTGCCTGCAACTTAGCATGTTGGCCCCGACCAACCCGAATGTTGAAAATTAACACTGCAACAACTCCATTGCTGCACTTGAATAATGCAATAAACCCCAACCTCCGCATCGATTCATGACATGAATTCTGAACACCTTTGGATTCTGTCCTCACAACCAGCAACCCAAATCAGAAAAACAAATAAAGAGGGAATTCACCATTACCAACCTTGGCAATAAACTCAGTGAGCATATCCGCAAAGCCTTCCCCCAAAGCCACGCGCCCACCCACACCTATCATGACTGCATAACAAGAGGATTGACCCGAACATTACCCTCATCCGAGTCTGAATCTCTTCCATTGGCTTCTTCAGCAACCATAGCATTCACCTTCTCCTTATTAGGACAGTCCCTCGCCCTGTGTGGACCCTCGCAAATGAAGCAACCACTGTCCAGCTTTGGCCTCTGCTGGATGAACATCGCCTCTGACTTACCTTTGTCTTTCTCTTCCTCAGCAACACCATACCTCTTGGGCTTGTCACCAAACTTGCCCTTCTTCTGTTTGCTGGCGATAGTAGAGTCAGACTTTTCAATCTGCAAGTCCACCAGGCTATCTACTGCAACTATAGCAGAAGAGAGGTCGATCACTCCGCTCCTCCTTAACTCGATTTGTGCCCATGATTGCAAGCCTGTCATGAAATTAAATAATTTGTCCCCCTCGGACATATCTTTGATATCCAACATCAAAGATGTGAACTCTTTCACATATTCACGCACTGTACCTGTACGCTTGAGTCTCCTCAATGACTCCCGAGCCACCCAGCCAGAAT